CAGTCACACATGGTACAGCAGGTCCTTCAGCGCTTCGGCTTCACTTGGTCCTCGCCACAGTCCACTCCTCTGGCTACCGGTCACTCGCTCTCAGCTCCACCTTCGGACGAGTCCGTAGAGCTGAGTGGCCCGTACCCAGAGCTAGTGGGCTGCCTCATGTACCTGATGACGTTCACTCGTCCTGACCTTGCGTACCCTCTTGGCCTTCTGGCACGCTACGTGGCTCTTGGTAGGCACCGAAAGGTGCACTTCGATGCTGCGAAGAGGGTACTGCGTTACTTGTGCAGTACATCGGGCATGGGGCTCGTGCTTGGAGGGCGGGGTCCAGTTGTCCTGACTGGACACTCAGACGCTTTGTGGGTTGACGACCTGACTACGCAGCGGTCGTCTCAGGGTTACTTGTTCAGCCTTGGCTCCGGCTCTGTTTCTTGGCGGTCTACCCGCTCGTCTTCTGTTCTCAGCTCCAGTTGTGAGGCTGAGATCTACGCCACAGCCATGGCTGCACAGGAGTTACACTGGCTCACCTACCTGCTGACCGACTTGGGAGAGCGGCCTCGTTCTCCTCCAGTTCTGTACGTAGACAACAAGGCTGCAATTGCCTTGTGTTATGAGCACAGACTAGAGCACAGAACGAAGCACATCGCTCTTTGCTCAAGAGTTGCAGCAGCGTGGTCAGCTTCGTCTTGCTTACGTGGCCACTCGGGCCAACACTGCTGATATATTCACCAAGGCACTTCAGCCTTGTGATCATCAGCGCTTCTGTACTGTGTTGGGTCTTGTGTCTGTTTTGCCTCACTTGCTCGCTGCTTGACTTTGCTTGTACTGTGACCTATATATATACCTGCATGCTTACTCTTGCTAGGTAGTGATCACTGTACTGTTTGTTGTCTTTTATATAACTCTGCATGTGGACCGCCCTTGTGGCCATTTGCTTGTGCTCAGAGTGTGTGGTGACTTCGTGATCCACCATGTGCTTGTTTTGCTTTTCTTGACTGGTCTTGTGACCCCTTGTTCTCCCCCACTTTGCCTATGGGGGTGTGTCAAGCTATAATGCTGCTTATGTTGTGTAGGCTGTAATGGGGTAGGCTATATGGAGTACAATCCAATTAGGGTTAGCACTTGTACTCATTTTGATGTCAATGCAATCATTCCTGCTCCTTAGTTTATGACAAGAGAGATGGTGAGGGAGGGCCGGGAGAGTGCAATGGGGCTTAACATTGAGGTCTAGCAGAGAGGCAAGTGCAATACAGAGTGGCTGGGAGAGAGGCGAGAGAAACAGAGAGGGATGGGAGAGAGGCAAGAGAAACAGAGAGGGATGGGAGAGAGGCATGAAAAACAGAGAGGGATTGGAGAGAATGGCAGGAGCAAGTTAAGGATGGGGAGAAAGTGATAAGATCAACAAGGAAGAATGGAAGTTGACTGTGTGTTCACCTCATTACAAAACTGAACGATCAGTGTATAAACCAGGAGTTCTCATGAAGTCAGCTCTTTTAGGAGTACAAGGGTAGGAGAGGGAGAAGTGGGTGAAGAATTTGGAGATGTTGGTCCGTGGCAGAAGATATAGTAAAATGTACACCAAATTTTCTTTATTAAGAGTTGCCAGTTCTTATAGACATACATTTTTTCACATGAACCCTTGTAAAACGTAATTAATAATAATGTTATTATTATCATCAGCTGGCAAGCAAAGCACGTGCAAAGTATTTTAATCTCAAAAAAACATTCCAGTGCAGATCCTCCAGCTACCTAAAGGCCAGAATTTGATAAGGCATTTGCTTCTGCAGCAGCACCACTGGCACCAGTAGTACCCAGAGCAGCAAAACTGGCACTAGCACAATTAGTGGCACCAGAAGCAGCACCTCCAGTGCCACCAACATCAGCAGTGCCACCGACATCAGCAGTTCCACTGGCAGCACCAAGACCAACAGGGCCAGCACCAGCAGAACTGACAGTACCCGCAGAACCACCAGCAGCAGTACCAGGATTAGATGCACTAGCACCAGCAGAACCGACACCAGCAGCAGCACCTGCAACACCACCAGCAGTACCAGCAGATTCACTGGCACCAGCACCATCAGTAGCACCAGCAGCTGCACCACCACCGACAGCACCACTACCCACAGTACCAGAACGAAATGCACTGGCACCAGCAGCTTCAGTGGCACCAGCAACAGCACTAACACCAGCAACAGCACCAGCAATGGCAGCACCACCAGCAGCAGCAGTAGTTTTCGAAGCATCATTGGCACCAGCACCATAATCTGCACCAGTACCTTCAGCACTAGTCCCCCCGATCCCAGCACCAGAAGCACTAGCACCAACAGTACTCTTGGAACCTTCACCGCCAGTAGTGCCACCGGCAGCAGCACTGGCACCAACACCAGCAGTGCCAGCACCAGAAGCACTAGCACCAGCAGCAGCAGAAACCCCAGCAGCAGCAGCAGGAGAAAATTGTTGCTGGCCCAACGGCTTCTGCCTGAACAAATAGTTCATGGGATGCTTGCTGTTTGAAGCATCACCAGCCAATGGGCTGGGGGAGCCATATGTGGTGGGGACGCCATTGCCATAGGACGATTTACTGCTGGATGCCTTGCCGCCCGACGACTTGCCGCCCAACGACTTGCCGCCCAACGACTTGCCGCCCAATGACTTGCTATGTTTCGAATTGTGGTGATGGTCATGATCATCGTCATCATCGTCATCATCGTCATCATCATCATCGTCATCATCATCGTCATCGTCATCGTCATCATCGTCATCGGCATCATCATCATCATGACCACCACCACCACCGCCGCCACCGGATGGAGGCGGGTTGTCATAGTCTGAGTCATCGTTGTAGTCAGGCCCGCCTCCCCAGAGGTACCGGGGTTTCCTGAAGCACGAGAAGTCCACCGCAAGGCCACCCCTGGTTGGGAAAGAGAGGGAGAGATAAAGGGTCAGGCTTGGTCGCATGCATCATCATCCTCATAGTCCAGCCCACCACCCCGGAGGTACCGGGACTTCCTGAAACATGGAAAGTCCACCTCAAGGCCGCCCCTGGTAGGAGGAGAGGGTGGGAGGGGTACAGGAGAAGAGGGGTCTTGGCTTGGTCGCATGCATTGCCATCCTCGTAGTCCAACCCACCACCTCGGAGGTACCGGGGCTTCTTGTAGCACGAGAAGTCAACTGCAAGGCCGCCCCTGATTGGAAGACAGGAGTGTAAGGTTTGGGAGGAGTGGGGGCGGATTGGGGATGTGCTCTGGTGGGGCCATGGCTCAGTGGTTTACGGGTCAGAGGGAGGAAGGGCGTCTTGAAAGCCAGTAAGTTCCACAGCAAGACTGCCCGTATTAAGGCAAGAAAGTTTAAGGTTGGACGAGAGTGCATGAGAGGGTGGAAGGTTGGACGAGAGTGCATGAGAGGGTGGAAGGGTGGGAGGAAACATGTGGCAGATGTGAGGGTAGATAGAGCAGAATGTTCTAAGTGGTATTGGGCCAATAAGGTGGCTTTTTTGTTACAAGGTAACAAAGTGCCTCGTGGTAACAAGATAACAAGCTGCTTCTCAGTCACAGGGTAAAGCTCCTAGTTACAAGGTAACAAAGTTGTCTATTGGTGGAAGGGTAACAAGAACTTTCTGGTGGTTGCCGTGAAAGGCGAGGGTTTTGGTGGCGGTGCTGCTGATGGCCCAGATGAGGTAGTTGGTGGCGTTGAGCTTTATGGGTACCATCCCCGTGCCCACCTTCCTGGCGAAACTGAGAAGGTGTGAGGGAGTTTGAGCAAGTGTAAGAGAGTGTGAGGGAGTGTATGGGAATGTATGAGAGTGCAAGGGAGTGTCGTGAAGTGTGATGGGAAAGCCAGGAGGGAACGAGGAAAAGGAAGGCGAAGCAAAAGACGCTGGTGAGAAAAAACAGCAACTTAGATGAACTTAGCAGCACGTAATGCTATCAAAACATTGGCGAAACAAAGGACAACGCAGTAGGGTAACGCATGGGGAAGTAGGGAAAAACAGCGGAAGTAGAGTAACATGTGGGGAAACAGGCCAAGTTTTCCATCACCCTTACATGATTGTTGTGCCGCCTTCAGATGTAGAAGAAACTGTAGGAGTCCCGATAGCAAATGAGCTCGTTTGCTTTACAAGCTTCTTACTATACCCACTCATGTGCACCGCAGCCACACCCGGCAGGTTCCCTATGACAGCATCTGAGCCCTTCATCTTGCCCTTTTTGCCCGACCATCCAACGGCCATCCAGCCATTTTTGGTTAGAGTGCCCTTGCGAGCCTCAAGGGCGAATCTGATGCGCGTCTTGGTGGCGAAGGTCCAGTGAAGGAGGATGCTGAGAGGGGGGACGGAAGGTGAGGGCATGGGGATGATGAGAAACATTATAGAGACAGGTTGACGCAAGAGTGCTGCTGCTCCTGCTGCTGCTGACCTCCATGGGCATTCGATGGGCTCATTTGCTGGCGAGTGGTTATTGGAGGAAGATTCTACTGGTGAGATGTCAGTTGATGCTCTAATGGGTGTGCTCGTGGTGAATATTCAGTCAGAGTTTGGTGAGAGTACAATGAGAGCCCAGAGAAACTTCGGTGAGAGCTCAATGAGAGTTCCGTGACAGTTCATTGAACGTCCAAAGGGAGTCCAAGAGGAGGTTATTGAGAGTTCAGTGAGAGTTGAACGTCCGGTGAGTGTTAGGGGAGTGTATTGAGTGTCTAAACAAGAGTTTTCTGATAGGGCAGGGCAGAAGGTGTATGGAAGAAGAAGCTCAGTGGCGGCTGCGCAAAAACGATTCTGTTGGCAGGTGCTCTAGAGAGGTAGAGAATCAAAAGGAGAAAGAAAATAAAGAAAAGAAAAGGAAATGGGAACACCATGGTGCACTAAAGGTAAACCATAGAGATCATCACCCACCACACCACCATTCGTTACTATCACATCAGCTATCCTCAACAACAATATCACTCACCGCCACATTCACTACTAACATCAGCGTGGCGTCAGCGGAAGCAATCACAGGCATTACCATCACTTACAGCGGTCCATTCAGCTCCACTTGATATGAGTACCCGGCTAGCGACGACGACGCGCATGCCGCACCTCCAGGTGGAACCGACGAGGGGGGAGGAGGGGACGGCTTGGGTTTAGTAGATGGTGGGGGAGGCGGGGAGGCTCGACCCGCAGGTGGTGGAGGGGAGCGCTTGGTGCTTGGAGGGGGCGGGGATTTGGCGCTGGAAGGGGGTGGCGGCGAGGGGTTGGAGACAGCGGTGGCGTCACAGGAATAGTCGATTGTGACGGTGCCTCGGTGGGCAGCATGGCCGTTGTCAAACAAGCCTGAAGGTCCGTCGGAGTAGGCCCAGATGGTCTTCATGGGTCCGTTCACGAACTTGATCTTGTTGCCCGTGCCCACCTCGCGGGAGAATCTGCAGGGAGGTTGTGGGGGATGGGGGAGGTGGGGAGACGGGAGAGCGCGAGGGAGAAGGGTCGGGATGAGGGAGGGAGAGAGAATTGGGCCGTCAGACCCAGATGGTCTTCATGCGGCGTTGATGACGTTGATTTAGTCGTCCATGCTTGGGGTGCGGTAGAAGCTGTGATTTGAGTGGAAGGGGGGAAAGAAGGGGAGAGGGGGAGGGGGGGGGGGGGAAGAGGGTGAGAGTAGGATAGGTGTTCAAGAAGGTAATCCTGGTGCCCGTGTCACCGTGTGGGAACACTTGCGGGTTTGAGGGAGTGTAAGCGTGGAGTGTGAGGGTAAGGGGGTGTGGACGCAAGGGGGTGTGGATGCAAGGGAGTGTGGAGTACAGTGCGGCGTGGATATGAGGTTATGAAGTGAACAAAAAAATATACATCTGGCATCGATATGAATACATCCGGATCAAACAGGGGTGACGGTGTGTGGATGAGAGGAAGCACACTACCAGCTACAGGCGGTAGAGGGTGCGAATGCTAGTCACAGTGAGGTGGGAGATAAGAAGTGGCTAAGCATGATACATGAAGTACGGAAGGGGGAAACAATAACAGAGGGCATGTGCGATACCACAAGAAAAGAAGAATAAGAAGAAGAAATTGTTGATGCGTTGAGTTCAACATGGGAAAAACGTTGTCATAAAAACACAGCAGCCTGGAAACACAAACGTACGTGGCAACACCGCCAGTGTAGGTAGGAGAACCCAGCGGGACGGAAGCAAACGGGATGATGGCGGTCGGCGTGTCGCCCGCTAGAGTGTAGGCGTCAATAGGCTCGTAGATTGCGCTGTTAGCAATAACGGCATCCGCGGGATACATCCCGCCTGTCGTTGGCCAGCCGACGCCGAACCAACCACCGGAGACGGATGTTGATGTGGCTTCCAGGGCCATGTTCACAGTGGTTCCTGCTGTGGTGGCTTTTGTGGCCTTCCAGTGAAGAATCAGCCTGCCGTGTTGGGGAGAATAGGGGAGGGCGGAAAGGAGGGAAAGAGATAAGGGTTGGCTACTGAGCGAAGGCGCCAGTTACTACCATGCCTGTTTCTGGCCTTTCAGTGAAGAATTGGCGCGTGCTGTGCTGGGTGGAATGGGTAGGGGCGGGAAGGGAGGGAAGGAGAGAAGGGATAGAGACTCAGCTAAGATGTGAGTTACTACTAGCATGCCTGTTTGTGGCCTTTCAGCGAAAAATCATCCTGTTGTGTCAGGGAAGAAGGAAAGCATTTGCAGAAGTGCAATGTAGCAATTGTGTCCAGAACTTCCTGCCAGGAAAGTTACTTCTTAATATTTGTGTATGAAATATTAAGAAACTTTTCTCAAGACGTGTCCTGGAGCTCGATCAATAACTGTATACTGTTATAGTCGCGGTTAGGACATTTTTCTTGGGTTCTGTTGTGGCCTGCCAGGTCTTTTTCAAAATGCCACACTAGTAGTCATCACCAAAATTGCGTGGTCCCCAATCTGTCCCGAAACCATTCTGTCCCAGAACAGACACAAATCCGTCCCGAAACTATCTTGAAAGACACTTTCGGGACATTTTCGTCTTCAGGCGGTTTTGCGCTACATTTCAACATGTCCCAAAAGTGACTTGTGCCGTAATCTGCCCAGGCCTGGGAAGGTTAGAACTGCGACGCGATCAGAAGACGCAGGTTCGATGCCCGTCGATGTCAGTTCCATTGCGTTGGGTGTAGATTTTGTTTATGATTTTCGTTCGTGTTGTACCCTTCTAGAATATTTCATTACGAAATATAAGTACACCACAATGTTGGTGGTAATCATAATCCCACAATGTTACCAGTAGTTGTTCGTTACAAAAACTGGCACTCAAAACAAGTACAACAAAACAAAATATTGCTTTTGTGTTTAGCGTCAACAACCTCATCGGGAATCGAACTCAACACCTTCGGAAAATATCTGAAGTACAGACCACTGCGCTAGGAGCTAACGTGAATTTTATACCTCCAATCTAAATATAAATCTACTAAATCAAAATTTCGCGCCACGTGTCGCGAAAGGAAATACGTGGCACCTGCCAGCAGTGCCGAAATCGTCCACGTGCACTAAAAGAATTCGCGTCACTGCCAAAGGTCCACCACAGAACTAAAATATTCAACCACCTGTGAGGTCCACTTCATGGTGTGAACCCCATCTCGATCACCGATACGAAACTACTATAACACATCCATACCGTAAAACGATCCAAACTTGTTGCTAGAAGAAGGCGTTGTTCTCTCGTCACCTTTTGTTCTTCACTTTGTTATTTGCTGCTCTGCTCTTGTGTCTCCCAGTAACTGGGCTCGACTTGTTAATTCTGTTCAACACTTCAACTAACATTTACGCCCTTAAATCACTATATTACCCGGCAGTCTTCGTTTGTCATTAATTACACTCTTGTTCTAACTCGTCTTTCGTAACTAGAACCATGATTTTGACGATTATTTGTTTAGTTCCTTGAAGTCTCTCTCATCTCGCGTCACTGCTTACGTCCCCTACTATGTTACCGCGTCACATTTCAAACTGGCTTTCCCATCCGTTCATCCTTTTTCCCGTGGCATTGAATCAGGATAGCAAGTCACATCTTCTCAATGACGTTGGAAAGGAATCATGGCGTTTCATACGATTCAACACGATGAATCATCTACTTCACTTGTACGTTTTCTTGCAATTTCATTTTCTTGAACATTGTTATTTTATTGTAAACAAAAATGTTTGGTGTGTCAACGTTGTTGTTTGATTGTAAGATTTGTCTGAACAGAATTTGCTAAAAGGAGATGTCAATGTTTTCGTCGACGGTAAGTTTTTTTCATTCTGTTCTGGAGCTTTGTTTTCTAACCTCAATGACTGACAAATGATGTTTTCCAGCATACTATATGCCTATGTTGCGGTTCAATATATTATAATTGGATCAATTCATTTTTGTAATTGTCTTCTAACAACTTCGTCGGTTCAAGGGTAATATTGATTACTTCATGTCTGCACAACGTTTATTATGACTCAACTGAAGCCACTACTTAGATGTTGCGGTGTTTTTGTGTTATGCCAGATAATAAATTTGAGCCTTATGGTTTTGGAAGTTGTGGCAATTTGTATACATCATGGTGCAAGAATTATGCATTAGCGTTTCTAGTGTTTTCTTGTATAAACATTGTATTAATGTCCTGTTTTAAATACAATGGGGCTTTAAGGCCAAGCGCAAGAGAGGCAGTTGCAATGCAAGCAAACCCAGAGACGTCCCGAATCTGTCCGTGGGAGAGTCCTCAATGCTACAGGAAGAGAGGTCTCGAATGTGTCCCAAAAGTGTCTCGAAAGACACTTTCGAGACAGTTGGGCGTGACCCTTTCGGGACATTTCACTTAGTCTCGAAAGTGTCTTTCGAGACACTTTTCAAACTGTCCCGAAAGTATTCGGAAAGAATCTTTCAGGACAGTTTCGGGACATTTCAATTTGGTGATGGTGTGCGGGGATTGCCAGAAGTTGGCGTCGTGTTTTAAGAGCATTTTTCACCCCCTGTCACGCCATTAAATTCCTCCAGCGAATTTTCTTTGACTCATCAATTTTTTTCTTTCATTTTTTTCTTTTTTTACCCGGGCGCGAGCGTTTTGGATGACGTAAAGCCACTTCGGCTCGACGTGCTGCACGCTGCAGCTCCCCCGCGCCGCTTCGTCCCGGGAATTACGGCCGGTCGCAGGCTTTGCGCGGCATCAAAGAAAAAACTTCCGAAGGAGCTAGGAAGGCGAAAGAACAAGGCAATGGAGTGACTCGGAGGTGGCGGCAGCGGAGCAGGTGCGGCGGCAAAGGCGGTGGTAGGGACGGCGTAGTGTGTGAATGTTATGAGCAGCGCGAGCTGAAGAGCGAGGAGCTGACAACGAGCCATGGAAAGCGCCGAAGACGGATGAGCAAGCAGCACAAACAGCTCCCTGCCACAGTCACGACTCGGCACTGGAACCCGGGGTGCTAATTTGGAATGAATTGCTGACTGAAATTGCTGCTCCTCTCTGCCCCTTGTGACATTTGAGCCAGATAGTGCTGGGGTAAAATTGCGCTCCGCATTACTACTTCGGGCACTGTGCATTGAGATTGCGCAACACATTTACCCGGCTTTACAGTGTGCTACCCGGCATTTTGAACGCGCAACTCGGCACTTACTGTAACAGTGTTGACTTTACCAGCTTTTCATCGATTTCTGGTCTGGTGTCGATTTCGGTGCATTCCGGGCATTGGTCAAACCACTCTGGTTGCAGTATCCGTGTTGGACCAGAGCCCTGTGGTCAGCGATGCGTTAGGAGTTGGAGTTTCATCTAGTCTGTAAATTTCGGGGTCAGTTGCAAGACCCAGTTGCCGCTCCATCCACACCCCCCCCCAGCTTCCCCCTCTCGTTTCCTCCAAATACACACCTCCCCTCCGCCAACTTTTGCCCCTCTTCTTCATCGCACTCCGACTCCCATCCACTACCCGTCCTTCAACAGTCTTGCACTATGTTTTCAAGACTCAATGCTCCCATAATGCCAGCTGGAGAAAAATCTCACGAGCTCGCTCGACAGCAAGCGTTTCGGAAAACGGAAGCGGCATCGAGCGCGTATAAAATGGAGTACTCTTTACTGGCATTGAGCAACACCATAAGTTGCAATGGTTGGAACCAGCTCTAAAAAATTAGGACAAAGTCACAAATTATGGAATAGCATATTTATTCATGGGCATTTTATTATACGGATTGCATTATTTTGATCATCTTAGTCTAGAGCAAAGAGTAACTAAACTTAACCGGAGAGGGGGGGGGGGGGGGGGGGGGATTTGTCTTACTCGAAGGCACTTTTTATAAGTCTCGGATTGTAACTCGTTAGTTTTTTTTTCAGGTTACTGTAGGTTTTGTTTGAAATGAAACTGCTTACTTCTGACTATGATGTGTGACTAGAATCAATGGCAAATGCTGTTGCGGGCTGGAGAAGTGCATGAATGTGTGTCTTGCCATTCTTACAACCCATCTCGTCGCATTTCTGAGGTGTATTGTCAAAGGTAACCATGGTGATTGGCCGCTTATACGGCAACCACGCCCGCTAGCGAAGGTTGTTTGGATGACAAGGAGAAACGCGCCTCGTTCATAACGAGATCTTGGAAGGGGGTAGTCCCTGCGGAGAGTCACCCTACAAATGGAGTGTCAAGATACTAAGCTAGTTGTGCTTAGGAGCCATGGCTAGAATGGCTTAGGAGCTTAGGTTTTGGGGTTGAAGAGAGATGTCGAGAGAGTTTAGGAAGAAGAAAAGTTTTTTTCACTAAGAAAGATGAGTACAACATATAGCACGGAGAAGCATCGTGCACCACCTACAACAAATTGGGATGTGCTACACTCTACACTGCAGACAATTATAAAGAACATATATGAATATAGTTCAACACACCCCTAATTGATTGCAGTGGGAACCATGTACAGAGCACCCCCTGAAGTGGTACACCCTGCAGGGAGCAGCAGAAGAAGAGGCAAAGTGAGGAGGAGGAGGAGGGACTGTGAGAGGAGTGGAGATAGGAGGCGACAGGTGAAGCTGCAGTCACACGGGCAACATGAGCGGCACGCATAGTGGCTACCGAGCACACGAGGGCACCGGACTACGGGAGTATCTAGCTCCGCGGCTACGACGAGCGGAAGGAGCAACGGACCCACAGGCGACTGGCGAAGCAGGCTCGCTGGGCTACCGAGAGCTCGAGGGCTCCGGACTACTGGCGCTGCTGACGACACGACGGCGACCTCCGCTCTACTTCCCTTAATAGTCCCACACCCCCTTCTCACACACCCTCTTGCTGCACCCCTGTCTCCAATCCCCTTTAGCTTCACTCCCCTCGGCTCCCACACACCCACCCCCCTTCAGCAACAGCTGCAACAGTGGGAGACGAAGAAGGAGGAG